TCCTGTCATCGTATCACAGAAAATATGAATTTTAATAACAAATTATAATTTGAACGAATATTTTGCATAATAACTAATTTGACTGACAAATGCTTAACACAAAATAAAAATTAGTCATTAAATAACGAAAACTATAGAAAACTAAACGAATATATACTTTCCAAACAGTTTTATCAAGATATGAAAGAGTTGGACGTGGAGTATGTGCTCCTCAACGCCACATTCCCGGAGAACTATCCGTTTGCGCCACCATTTGTTCGGGTCGTCTCTCCACACATCGAGAAAGGTTACCATCGATTCACTACTTATCTTATCTCTTATATTAACACAATAGACATCTATTTGTTTGTCAGTTGTTTATGACTTATAAAATTTTTAATTATAATTAAATTGTTTTCATTGATGTTTTAATAGAAAAGTGAGCTAATTGTTAGGCAATAGAATTAAAATGTTATAAATTCATTAAATTTTTTCATGATTATTGAAAAGAATTTTTTGAATTGATTTAATAGGGTTTGTGATGGAAGGCGGAGCTATTTGTAAGTATAATTTCTTGTTAAATATTTAGACAATATAAAGAACTTATTTTAAACACGATTGAAATAGTTATGAAACTTACGAGCATTTGTTTGTATTGCAACAAATTCTAGCGAATAAGTAAATAAAGTGATGAATAACTTATATATAATTTATATTAACAAAACATTGCCAACAATATGTCCGAATTGAATTGCAATAGAAAATTCACAGAATTCTGTATATTCCGTAAAATGCAATGCATTTTTATTAAATCAAATATTTTGCAGAAAGTCATTAATGATTACTTGCAAGAGTTGTTAGCAATTCGTGTCTGTATTTCAAAACAATGCATTCAATCATAAATTCAAGTCTGACTTCAGTGGATAGGAATTAATTTCATTAATTTGATTATTTTAATGAAATATAAATAGTGTTATGAAAACATATCAGGTATGAGACGTTTGGGACGTATCCTGAAGTCAAATGAGAGTTATAGCACTTCATATATTTTTAGTATTGAGTAAAGCTATTATTTGCCCACAAATCGGCAATTTTTGTGGTAATTTTCTCGATATGTTTATACAATTACAAAATGATGTTCTGTACTAAAATGAAGTTATATATTATACATTATAATGTATTAACGCATTAAATGTGTTAATCTTGATCATATTTGTTAAGTGGAATTATTAGCAACAGAAGATATATTAGAATTCAATCAAAAATATCGGAAATTCTATTTGATTTTTTGCATTAATTGAATCGTTATTTAAGAATGTAGTACTAGAACAGGCATTCTGGCTTGGGCACTTTTTATATCTGCACTCTATATTCAAAATATTTATTTCAATAAGTTATATAAGAAATAATAGATTTAATGTCATTTAAAGACATTATAAAATATCTAGGTAATAAAACGAATTTAATGTATTATGCTGGCTTAGCTTAGGATTATGTTTATATAAAATATTTATGGATTTATTATCCAAATTTTTGAAATATAGATGAAAATTTGGAAATAAATTAAATTTTGGAAAATTACAATAATGTTTTCATTGAAATTTTCTAATAAGTTTTTCCAACGCATATTTCGAGTTATTTTATTGATTTACATGAGAAACAAAAATTAATTTTTGTTTAATTATTTTTACTAATTTTCAGATTCAATGTTACTATAAATAAGAAGAAATCAATCAAATGATAGTTTAAATTATAATTATATTTTTACGAAAATTTTTTATTCATAAAACGGTGTTATTTAGCATAAAATACACCTTTCAAACTCATTATTTTC